GGTGAAAACCCAGAAAAAAAAAATTATTTAAAAATTATTTTAAAAATTACAACAAACATACCATATTTACATTTACAGCACGATTTATCTTTACAGCATTGTATATATTTCAATTATACACTTATTTTCACAATGCAACTTTAAAATACAGTAGTATACTGCATAACTGTCCTACAGTAAATGACAGTTCATATTACAGTTAAATACTGTGTAATATGCAAAAATCAACAATGTATATATTTCTGTTATAAATTTGTTTTTTTATTTAGTTTTTATCTAAAGTATTTGTAATCATGAGATTTTTAACTAGTTTTTATTTTTATTTTTATTGAATAGCTATTTTATATATGTATCTTGTAGTTTAAGTCCAACATTAAGGCTGTGTTCGAAATCACATACTACTCAGTACAGTAGGTACTACATTTGTAAAGTGCCTTCTATACAGTACGAATGTCAGTAGCATGAATGGAACTCGGATGTATTACATCCGCCATTTTGTCATCATCATGTAATCTACCAGACTTAGTTGCATTGCTTCACTCCCAGTCATGAATTCTCTCACGGTGCGTCATGGGATCGCATAGCGTCCATCCCATGCGCACTTCAGAATCTCGCCAGAAGTAGTAGGTCATCCGGGTACTTCTCACATACTGTTTTTTGAATTCTATAGCTGTGTTTAATTTCAGAGGCTGCATCCTCTGAAGGATGCACCTTCAGAGGTGAGTCCTTCGAAGTCTACACCAAGCGTTTTAAATGAGACGATCTAGCCTACAGAGGACAGATCCTGTGACAGGCACCTGTAACAGCTGCCTTTAGTAAGCAGTAATAAAATTTGTAATGACTTTTCTTTCAAAATTATTTTAAGCGATCTAAAGGCAAAACAAGGTATACAAAAGCTAGAAATATATTTCCTTTGATCTATACATGTAGACATAAACATGTAAAGTTTCTATAAAATCACTTTTTTGTAAGATGTTAATATGTCATACTCTTTTTGTTTTTTAAAACGTGTTTAGATATCCAGGTAAAATAAAGCCTACTTCATACATTTAATCCACAGTTTTCTTTTAAAAACGTCCTGCCGTTATCAGCGTGCAATGAATCTTGGGATGTTTAAGGCCTTGAAGGGTCCGCCGGTTGTATCCTTTATTACCTGGGAAACGAAGGACGCGTTTTGCATTTGTAGGAGCCTTCAATTTTTTTTAAATGACACAGCCTTCGTTGACCCTTAATGACGCAGCCCACTTCGAATGCATTCTTCAGAGGGTGCAGCCTCTAAAAATGAGACACAGCTTTAGAATTCGAACATAATTCTTGACTCGATTTGAAATGTCGTATCTGTGTCTGTTCTAATCGCAGATTTGGGAATTGTACCCTTGTAAAATTAGAGTACGTTCCGTTTTCCTTTATGTTTTTATAATTACAGATGCGTGAATTTTATTTGCCCACAAAATATTTATGACATCAATTTGATTCCATAGCCGATTTGCAAATCACAGCACATTATGTTAGCTGACCAATCAGAGCATCTTGAGGGCGGGCTCAAGAGGGACTAGGAAATATGACGTCGTTTTTAGCTGTATATAATCAAGGTAAGATATATGAAAAAATAGCCTGATTGTCTAAAAATAAAGCATTAACAGACATTGCAAATTGCTTTTGCATCTTATAAACACAACCAAACCTTAAAAATACACTCTGGGCCACCCCTTTAAATGCTGTTTGGAAACAGATTTCCATAGAACGAAAGCATTTCCATTTTGTGTGTTTTAAAAACGCTTTACAAAAAGATATTGTACAACAATGTGTCTTTTAAATGCTTGTTTTTTTATTTGCTGACATAGTTAAGTTGTTAAAAAAATCTATAAAACTCTAAAAACAAAAAATAATTTCTACAAATGCATGCAAACAGTTAAATGTGTCTGACAACAGAAAATAACGGAGCTCCCCTGAAAAAAACGATGTTGAGTCAAGCATTCAGAAAGAGTCTTTGACATCAACTGTCCGACTGGAAGTGCTTTCACCTTTCTTGTCTGTTCATCCTCCTCTTTTATTTTTTTGTTTCCATGCCCTTTCTCCGTTTTCCCTCGCTCTTTGTAGTGGTTGCTGCTCAAAGGCCAGACATTCCTAAGAGACAAGAAGCCCAGACTTCCAGAGCAGCTCATGCATTGATGCAAACTGCGGGCAGACGCTGAGCTAAAATTAGTGGAGATTTATGGGATCTGTGTTTGTGTATGTAGAGGAGGTGCCGACACGGAAGATTTTTCACAGATTCTTGCACAAACCCACAAGCATAAACACACACACACCTACTTAGTCACAGACGGGAGGCATTAGGACGTAAATAATGAGTTTCACACCATATATCGAGGCGAGTGCCCACTAAAACAGTCAAACACACGCATACACACACATTTAAACTCTTTTCTGACAGTTTCTTGATTGTTTTTCCTGCCATATGAAGAGACAGTCTCGCCTGGCCCATGCTTTTACACACAGGATTGTGCTTGCTTTTCCATCCGAAAGTCCTCCATGAAAATTTTAGCTGCGCCTTTTTGTCCTCTTTCAAGTTTGTTTATTTTTACTGTAGTTCTTTCTACAAGGCATATTTTTTTCTGTACAAAACAATATATATATTGATATATTTTTTGATGAGTAATTAGAATTTTGCTATTCGGGACATTCTACCAGAAAAATAAATTTTCACTTATTAAAAATGTGACAAGGCCTGGCCTTTATGCTTGTCCTCCTCAAAAAATCATACAAAAACAAGCCTGTAACCATACAATTCAATGATAGAACGCATCCTTGATCATTTTCAGCTTCTCCAAATGATGTCACTTCCTCTAAGTCTTAAATAATTGAATGCAAATGTGACAGGACTGACAGAAACATGGGGACAATTGTAAAACACTATTTATTTGTAGAATTTAATTACAATGTCATGTTTTTAATCAACTGATGTGAATGAAAACAACTTAAACTTGCTATTTCTAAAGTATTTTATAGTATTTATAAGTATTTAGCCTAACAAAACTTTTAAAGCTGTAGGTTGGGCTGAGGACAAGGACAGTGATGGGGTTTGTACATTTGTAAAGTGTTTTTAATAAAGAAAAACACTCTGAAAACCAAATGAATGACATTCCTTTACAACCATCAGTCCATTTTAGATTTTTTTAATTAAATACTTTTTTTTCATTGTATTTATGTTTTTATTTCAAGGACAGCTAATGTGGTTGAATCCTCCATTATTCCATCAGTGTGTAATATGGTCGGCAGATAGCTCTCTACAACTCTCACCTGGTCGCCCATTGAAGCGAAGCAGGGCTGCGCCTGGTCAGTACCTGAATGGGAGACCACATGGGAAAGCCAGGTTGCTGCTGGAAATGCTATTAGTGAGGCTAACAGGGTGCACTCAACCTGCAGTCAGTGTGGGACCTAATGCCCCAGTATAGTGAAGGGGACCCTATACTGCTCAGTGAGTGCCGTCTTTCGGGTGAGACCTCTTTAGATGTGGGTGCTGACTCTCTGTGTTCGTTAAAAATCCCAGGATGTCCTTTGAAAAAGAGTAGGAGTAGTTTAACCCCGGCATCATGGTCAATTTTGCCCACTGGCCTCTGTCCAACATGGTCTAACCATACCCATATCATAATTAGCTTCTCTCCACCAATCAGCTGGTGTGCAGTCTGGCACAATATGGCTGCCGTCGCGTCATCCAGGTGGATGCTGCTCACAGGTGGTGGATGAGGAGATTCTTCCTAATGTGTATAGTGCTTTGAGTGTCTAGAAAATTGCTATATGTAAAGAATTATTGTTATTATTATTATGGTTATATGTTTTATTTTAATGTAGAAGGGTCAAAGACAAAAGGTGGTATTCAAATGTCAAAACATTTCAAGTGTAATATGATTTTCATTTTTTGGGCATTAAAATTTGTGCCTTTTTTCAGAATATTTTCACCCATCATGTAGTGTAACAATAGTTTATTTAGTTTTTTTATTATTATACTTGCTGTATAATAATAATAATAATAATAATAATAATAATAATAATAATAATAATAATAATAATAATAATAATAATAATAATAATAATAATAATGTTTCCAGTGATGGGTTGCTACTGGAAGGGCGTCCACTGCGTAAAGCGTGTGCTGGATAAGTTAGCGGTTCATTCCGCTGTGGTGACCCCTGATTAATAAAGGGACTAAGCCAAAAGAAAATGAATGAATAATAATAATAGTTCAGCAAGGAATGCAATAAACTTGTATTTATTTTGCTAATTAAATAAAAAAAAAGACAAACATATTGCATATTTTTAATGGTCATGTGACATTAATAATGCTAAATATTCACCACAGGAATGAATTGCATTTTAAAATATGTATTCAAATATAAAACTTGTGTTTTATATTGAAATATTTTACAGTATTGTTACATTTGATTACAAAAAATACAGCCCTGGTGAGTAAAATTTAAATCTGAACAAACCCACAATTTTAAAAAGTAGTATATTTATATTATAAATAGTTAATATTTATATGTAATGTATTAATGGCTACTGTAATGCATCTTTAAAGTTTCCTTTATCTGCTTATAGGCTAAAAATATTGTACATGGGTGTACATGTGGGACTCGACTGTTTTGGAAATAGTAAAATCATTACTTTGTAAAATATGTGCTTGAATTGCAGTGCGATAATGCGGGTTCAGGAACAAACATCAACAACAACAAAAATGTATGTGGCTTAACTAAAAAAAAAAAGTCAGCACAATTGAATCTGAACAAAGAGTGCAAGTTACCCACACACCCATTAAGACCAGCACCTGTTCCTGGATCAGGGAGAGAATATATTGAATTTTTAATAAATATGTTTAAAGATTTATATATTTTTGCGTAGCACTGTTCCTGGAACAGCTGGTTTGTTGAGTACAAGGCTTTAAACTTTTATGAGTGCTTTTGTGTTCTGTGTTTAATGGAATGAGTGGAGATACACAGACGTGGTATTTAGATGGAGACATTTATTACAAGGATCGACAGTGTTTTGCACTGAGCACAAACAACACTTTATATGCCACCTAAATGTGCTCATAACAAACCGTACAGACAGGCTGCTTTTCCATCAATGTCTATTTAAAAACTCTTACGCAATACTGCTAATTATTGTAACTGAGAATAACATTATCAGGACAATCTTATGTCAATGAAGGCACAAATCAAAACAATCATAAGTCAATGTAAATAAAACAATACAGAATAACAAACAGCCGTGAAAATGTACAGAAAGTATATAATACACAACGCATTAAATAACACAATTTAAATATGTAGTATATCCAGTCAAGTTTTCTCAATGGTCTATAACAGATATCCTATAGAATAAACACATTCCTTTCCAGTTCATTTTATACATGTATGTGTTTAAATGGTATGTACTTCATATAAAACTTCCGAATTGATGCTGAAATGCCTTTTATCTTAATATATTGTAAATATTAAGCACATACTTTAAAGTTCAAAGCTAGACTAGTTTAATTCAGGCTTAGCCAACAGTAAAAATGCCTCATGCAAACAAAATATAACGGAACAAAATGACATAGTATCTATCTTCGATTTATCTTGTTATTGTGTGTGTTGAGCAATAAAACAACTGCACATGCACAATATATACACATCCTGAAGATTTTACAGGTCTATACGTGACCTTTTGATTCCCCTTCTCATTCTTAATAATTGTTTGCATGATCTATTGACTTCAGAATATGTGTCTTTTAACACCCCGTCTTGCGAAAAGATTTGTTTGGCATCTCTTTCCTGTGTTCAATGGCATGTGTTGTTGAAAAGCGGTTCATTTCTGGACCAGAATATACACCATAGGTCAAAGCTTGTCCTTCCACACTTTCATGCCTCAGGGAGCTCATATAATTGCTCGGTTGTACTGGAATTGTGAGTGTGTGTGCATGTGCATGCTTGAAAGAGAATGACAATGTACGGTATCATAACACTGATACAACCTTTCCCCTTTGACCTGTGTGTTTCACTAGTTGCTGTCTGGCTGATCTCCGAGATATGCCGATGTTTGCTTGACCCTGTCTCTGTCTAAGCAAGCTAAAGATAAGCTTCGGGATCATGATATCCTCTTTGTGTTGCTGGTACCCTTTGTAATGTCTTGTTACTTCCTTTTGCAAGATAAAATTACTTAGTACCATGGTGCAGTGATGGAATCAGATGTGGTACTATGATTTAGTACTGAAATCATAAGGTAGGGCTATAATAACTCTCATTTGCAATTTTAATTTGACTTATTTACGTTTAAGTTGGAATTTCTTTAATAACTTTATTATTTTTTAAATGTATGTAAGGCTGCCAAAGTTAACTGGTATTATAAAACATAATCTTTCAAGAACACCTTGGTAGTACCATGGTATATGTTCAAAAATCCATGGTGGTACCATAGTACCGTTTGGTACTTTTGTTTTTGGCCAGAAAGTGTATTAAAATGTTCCATTTTTCATGTTTTTTCAAAGATAAATCCTTCCAAATCCTCAAAAAGCATTGCTTTCCTAATTCTTAGCATTATTTGCCGTACTAATGTGCATGTACTTTGCTGAAATTGCTGGTATTATACAATGAGAACGCATTGTACAGAGCTTTATCTAACACTTTTCATAAAGGATGACCTGTATCGATGAAAGCACTCCCAAAAACAATGAAATGGCTTTGTCGTTTACAATTGGCCAAAATGCAAACGACTAACTTAATTAACACAGCCTCAACTGTCATTACATGCTGCATCTCAGAAAACAGCTGCTTTAAAGTGCTTCCGTTGTTCCCTCTCGACTGTCGAGTTCAAAACGAGAATATCATGAGAAATGCTCATCAACGTGAGTTGGTGAATGGAGATTTGATGCTTCTCGACCTGTAAACATGTACCCTGCAGCGTTGTGATGAGAAGGACAAGCTGGCAATCATTCCCTCTTCCTGTCTCTTCGTACGTCCATGTTTAGCTCAGCTGGCTGCTGATGTCCAGGGCTTTCTGGTACACCTGGGTAACATCATCCATATCACCCAGCAAGGAGAAGCTCCCATTGTCTCCAGGGGAACCAGGAGGGCTACGGTTGCCTCTTCCACCGTGCAGGGGCGCAACGGTCTGTAGACCCCTGAACCCAGCCATCTGCAGCAAGTCTTCAGCAGACAGCGAGCCGCGAATGTTGGGTTTCGGAGAGGTGGGTGGCCAGTCCAAGCCAATGCAAGAGAGACCTGTTTCCTCATATACGATACTAGAAGGTCTGCTCTGGCTCCGTGTGAGGGTTGCATCTGCTTGGATGTCCCCATGGACTCCCACCGCACTGTGTGTGGAATATTTCCCATTTCGCTTCAGTATACCCTTCCTCCCGACAGACCGCTTTGTAGGTGAGCTGTTCGGAGGTTGTACAGTAGCACCCCCTAACAATTCTGAGGACTCGCTGCGTTCTGGGGAGGAGTAATACCCGGACTCTCTCTGCTGATTGTTTTTCAGAATGCCTTTCTTGGGTAGCATGGACACCATCTTTGCTGGTGAACCACCCAGGGTGTCCTCTCTCTCCGGACTAGACCCCGACTCGACATCTTGGTAGCAAATTGTCCGCCTGAGCTCAACTTCGCACAGACTCTGAGAGCGCTGGTCTCCACTGGTCGCTCGAGTCTTCAGGATGCTCTTTGGTCTCTTGAGGCCTGGCTTCTCCTCTGCAACACCCCACATGCCAGCATCATTCTCCTTCATGGACTTTCTCAAACGACGGGCTGGAGTCAAGGTTGTGTTATTGACATTCCCAGGCTCTGGCCGTTGAACTTTGCCAGGACGAACGTCAGTGCGATTCTGCCAGTCAATGAAGCGGGCCAGCATAGGCGAGCTGTTTTCCCTTTGCGTTTGGCAGTCGCACACACTGCTCTTCCAGCCCCAGTTCACCCACCAGTGATTTGCAATGTCCTCAACTGTAGCCCTCCGATCTGGATTAACCATTAACATCCAGCGGATCAAGCCACGAGCATCTGAACAAGATGGAGAGATTACGTTAGTAAATCTTAGGGTAAGACACCCTCGGAATGTCTATTAGTGAGACCAGTTATACATTTTTAACTTAGTGGCTAATTCAGATGCAAACATTCTTCTCTTGCATTTTAAAAACGTTTTGAAAACGATCTGCGATTCCACATGAAAATTGTCTGAAACGCTCTATGCCAGGCCAAGATTTGGCACCGTCGCCACCTTCTTCGTAAACAGTACCTGTATGGAAGATAAGATGTGTTGTCTGTGATTCGATACTAGTGTCTATAATTTGCCATGCGTTTATGATGCGTCTCTACTGTTGGTTGTTATGTAAAGTAAATCCCTGCATTGCTGATAAAGCGTTAGCAAACACTTTTGCATCAACACAACCCTGTACTCCTTTATTGTCGTGGGTTTGTCTGCGCTTGCCATCTACACCTTGCTCAACATGTACATGTACCATGCATGAACATGCAGTCATTGCTTTAAAAGACTCTCGTTTTAGAGTGTTTACATTGCGGCATTTTCAAAAACTTTCACCAATTTTTCATCCCCAATAAAGCATTGTCATTTCAACAAACAGGCAAGCACATAAAAAGTTTACAGTTACCTGTAACTTATTCATGCCCCCAGAGCTAGTTTGGGACAGGCCTACTTTTGAATATGCAAATAGTTTTGTGCTAATGAAATTATACACATTTGTATGAATTAGCCACTAATTCACCAATGCATAAAGTAGTTACACTTTTCCCACGAGGGCTGGGAAGACCCACATACCTGATGACTGCGGGGGTTCTCTGTACTCTCCATTACTGATCTGTCGAATGAGTCTTTGGTGGTCTCCTCCATCGAAGGGCATTGTTCCGTACACGAGTGTGTAGAGTAATACACCCAGCGCCCAGCTGTCAACCTATCAAAACAACACCACACTCGTAAATAGGTCCAGTGGGAGATACTGTTTTGAAAATGAACATTTGAAATGTAAGGTTCATTTACATAAAGACTCAACAGTGCTAACATTTATGCATTTCAGAGGTGTATTCAGACACCTTTTTTTAAAGATTTAATGCATTTAGGAGTTTGGGTGGAGTTTATTCTACCAGATTGGTGAAATCAGAGAGAGTTAAGGTTTTGGAAATTGACTGAACCTTGGTGCTAGTTCATCATGTGTCTATATCCACCCCTCCTCTTTAAGCAATAGATTAAAAGGTTATGTTATTTTATTTTCCTGTAAAGGCCATAACTCCACCTATATTTATGAACATTTAATCAAGCTGTCATTTTACACCGAAAATGTATGAGAACAATAGGTGTTCTCACATATATCTGCACAGTAACTGCCATCATATTTCCTGCTGGTTATTTAATCATTCCTCGTGCATGGCCTTGTCTGATCCCTGCTGCACCTCTGCTGATTAGCCAGGGGTGCAGGCCAGGAACGAGGAGGTATCGAGGGAAACAATGGCTGATTACAGCGCAGGAAATGTCCACTCCCCTAACTCTAGACCTGTCTGACCCTGAGTAGATTTGAGGAGCTCTGTGATTGTTGGCTCCGTTCCACTGATCTCTGACCAGCGAGGACAAGAATTCTGCCTTTCCCATGGTTTAAGAGGGGGGGTCTGTTATGTAAGGAAGATTGAGGGACCAGTGGGATCATTATGTGTACGATTGAATATCAAGAGGCTTGAGTGTGTCATCAACACTAAAACATATGGGAATTTTGAAAAATTCCGGTGTTCCAGACAGACTTAGTGTTTTGATGTTGAAAATTAGGAATTGTGAGGGGGTATAAGAATGGTTGATATCCTGAAAATAGCATTGAGATTAGCCCTCATTCTTTTTGGCAGGGTCTTTGTTTCTCATTGGATTATGGAGGATGTTTGGTACGCTGACTGACTTGGCCCGTGAAATGATTACTGAGTTGGGAGTGACTGAGTTTGGATGTGGAATGAGGGTTAGGGGTGGTCTCACCTCCCTTGGATACGAGTTAAAACACTTTCTCTTTCTCTTTGTAATCTGTTTTGCTTTCTGTTATCTTTTGAAACAGGAAATATGTGATTGTGTTACCTAGCCTACATTTTTCTGAAGTGAAAAATGAAGGCTTCTTAAATGGCACAGGAAGATTGCATAACTGGGAACTTTAGTTCATGATGTACCTCTGGGCCTCTATATGGTCGTCCGTTCACAATCTCAGGGGAAGCGTACAGCGGACTGCCGCAAAAGGTTTGAAGAAGCTTGTCTTTGTGGTAGAGGTTGGAAAGACCAAAATCTGCAATCTATAAGATAAAATCAAGTCAGTCATTCTGTATGAAAGGTAACACCTTAAAGTTTACATTTGCAAATATTATTATTGTTTATTTATTTTTTTATTTTCATATAAATGAATATGAAAAATATTTCCCGGACAAGTATCTAAAATAAAGGAAATGATGTAATGTTTTACAGTAAATGTCTATTTTACTTACAAAATTGGTTTAATTTAATTTAAACATAATACATTAACCTAAACTATGAACTAACAATTGTAAAAAAAATGTTATTTATTAAATTACCGTATTACAACATAATACACAACAATAATAAACTGTAACATATGTATTAATCGTAAATTAATGAGTGCAGTAACTAATAAAACAAATATAAGACTTACTGTAAGTGTATCAAAATATCACTGGAAGAAAATCGTAATATACCTTAATGTTACCGTTGTCATCCAAGAGAATGTTTTCTAGCTTGAGATCTCTGTGTACTACTCCTTTCTGTAAGACAAATTATTGAAATAGTTAATTGATAAACCAGCCATTAGAGAACCATCACTTTTCATTGTCTTACTGAATTTACAATTATAAGACTATTAAGACCATTCTTGACAACCAATTTTGTCATATCTGATACCATATAACAGTTCTAAAACCTCTTAATCAGCTTAATATGAAATTTTAGGAAAAGTACAAGTGACATTTCCCTTCATCCGATGTAAAAACCTAACTTTCAAATGCACCAATCTGTGTTTCTCGTCCCCCATTTCCCTAACGACCTCTGACTCTGCCTTATCAGAAGGCCTAGGTTGGAATCCCCCAACAGAGTTGATGACATCATCACCCCAGCTGTATAGAAACAAAGGCCAAGCCCAGCCTAAAATCCCACAGGACGTTCTATTTTCCAGCTGACACGGCCCTAGGTCCCGGCTGACCCTTTGTACTGATCTAGGAATGGCATCTCCTTCTTTAATCCTACCTTTTAAATCTTTATAAAACTAGAACAATATGCTCTAAAAATGTGAAATAAAACAGAAAACAATGAAGAAATATGGGCTGGATCACTGTGAAAGTTCAATCAGAAGAATCATGCTTGGAAAGCGGGAAAAGGGGAGCTGAAGAGAGATTTGGCACCAGGACAGAAGAACACAGCTGCTCTTTGGCTCTAAAACCTTTCGTATCGAGACATTCTTGGAAGTTTAGTTTATCCCTCTCATATCAAGCCCTCCTTCATACAGTAAATCATATTATTTACTTATAGAGAGCACATGCGAATCATGTTGGTTTCACATGAACACTGCACAGATGTTTAGGTTGAGAGGCTTAGTTTAAGGTACAGTACGAGACTCTGTACCCTATGGTTTGAATGTTGTAAGCAAAGCAAAGCAATTAACAGAATAATTACCATGACATGCAGTCCCCACCATACAGTGTGTTTGCACTATCCCTATTGAAGCTAGTTTAAAGTCTTAGCTGAAGCTGGTTTTCCATCAGCCCCCTACTGATCTAGCTAGGGTGGGCAAGTTGGACAGTTATAAAGAATAATCTAAAACATCTCAATTAGTTCATCATACAATTAATCAATAAAAAACCAAAAGGCTAGCTTAAACAGATTGGAAGACCAGCAAACTAGCTTATGTCGTTTTGACCTTCATGCCATTCCAAAACTATCTATACCACCAACTGTCTATATCAGGAATGTCCAAATTGGGTCCTGTATGGAAATTTCCTTATTAAGTTTTGCCTCCAACTTGCCTCACCTGTCTGGAAGTTGGTATTAAACCCTAATTAGCTGGTTCAGTTATGTATAATTAAGGTAAGAGCTAAAATATGCAAGACAGTGACCCTCCAGAATAAGGTGTGGACACCCCTAGCCTGTACAATGAAAGTCATTGAGGTCCAACAAAACCCCTTTTACTTTCCCTGCAGTGACAATAAATACTTCTTTTGAAAGAATCATCTTTTACATTGCAAAGTAGAAACACTTTATGGATATGATGTTATTTGGGTCTGTCCTCACCTTGTGGCAGTAATGAACAGCAGAGACGATCTGTCTGAAGAAATGTCTTGTCTCCCTTTCGGTGAGCCTTCGGCGCTCACTGATATAATCGTACAGCTCACCCTTACTGGCGTATTCCATTACGATCACAATCTTGTCCTTATTCTCAAAGACTGTGAAAAGAAGCAAATACAACAGCAGCTGATTAGATTACTCGACATCATTGCATTATGGGCACTTGCATGTTAAAGGGACTGCGCGTGGAAATGAAAACAGCAAATTTCCATTATGTCTGGCTCACTAGCTAAAGCTCTTCGTCATTGACTGTTAACAGTTTGGCTTGCGCTTTAGTTGGTTCATTGCCAACATGTAGGAGTCAAAATCACCAGAGAGTCTGTCTTTAGTCAGGGTCATAGTGATTAGGAGCTGTCTTAGCAAGCGAGACCACAACTATTAACAGGTGCTAAGTGCAGAGAGGAAGCGAGATTTGGTGTACACGAGCTCAAATGGTGGCGTAAACATTCCTGTTCTAAGAAAAGGTGTGTGTTTTGCACAACACACTATTCTTAGTAGCAGTGCTTAGATTAATAGCTATCATTCGAACCAATCAGAGAGGAGTTTATCTTGCAGATCTTGATGGGTAAAATGGGAACTATGCAAATCTTATTTTGCAAGGTGTTGCTCATTCATTTCCTCTTCCACCATCTGCTGAAACAGCATGGGGATCTCCATAGTGACCCTTTATTGTTTAGTGCCCAGAGGCTTGTCGTCACAGTGACGGTCAGTGGACCAAATAGTCAATGAAGAATCCCGCTGATCAGGTGCATTTCCTCTAACTCTCTTGGTGTAACTTTCAACAACATGTGCATTTGAACACCTGTTGTATGTCTTGGGTCAAGACTAACCAAGCTTGTTAGAATACCAGTTAAGTTCACGCTCAAGGCACTGAACTCAGTCTCAGGCCAGCGCTGAGTAATTACCTCTCTCGGCTAATCCGTATTAGACACGAGAGACTGAGCGCACTACGTTCTGGCACCGACTCTCAGACCAATCCAGGGTCAGTAATAATGACCCCTGGCTGAGAGCATGGCGTGAGTCCACAGCCGTGGCGTCTCCCTCTGTCAACGTGGAGATAAAGCAGCTTTGTCAAGTCTTTCTTTTGAGTATCCTGCTCAAGGCATATGCTGCACTCGAGGCCTAATTTGATGTGGTTTTGATTTATGCTCAGAGAGGCACAGCTACATGCGTGGGACATGCTGATAGAGGACTGTAATGGCCTCCCGCCTCATCTCCATTAAAGAGTGTACACCCCCAACAATGTTGTTAACTGATCAACACCCTTAGGCTAGCAGGGTGCGGTCAGATTGTGTAACTGTATGTGAGGGTAACTGATACAAAGATGATTGGAGGTTGAGGAAAAACCACACTCAGCAGCAAAGGGTAAGCAGTTTGCACACACTGAGAATCAAAGTCAAGGGGTCTGAGGAATTTTTGCATCGTCCCCTTGTGATTACGTTAACCAAATTATGTCCTGCAATTCCAAGATCTGCCCCATTTTCTGAAATGTAGTTTGTTGTCTTTGTTTTGGATTTGAAGACACTAAGGACCATGCCAAAGTCAGAACATTGGACCCACTGAACCAATGAAACGAACTCCTGGAAAGAGAGTTAAAACTTAGTTTTTTTTAGGAGTAAAAAGACTAGGCATACCTTCATATATAGAGATGATGTGTGGATGGCGGAGCGAAGACATGATCTCGATTTCTCTGCGGATGTGCACCATGTCTTGTTCATCTTTTATCTTCTCCTTACGTATGGATTTTATCGCCACCTTAGAAACAAACACACATAAGAGTCGTTAAAGATTTTTTTTTAGAGTAACACTTTTGAATTCCTGGTTTAGTAGACAATTTCACGGTTGATTGAGCAGTATTGATGAAGGCAAGGGTCAAAGGTTAAAAAACATTGATTGATTATGTTAGTGTTTCAGTGGCATCCCGTTGTGGAGGTCAGAGATCATAGAAACAGAAGAGTCTACACCCTTTTATGCCTCAATGAGTTGTTCCTGTCAGTCAGCTGATCCAAAAGTCTGGTATTAGTTCAAGTAAAGTTTTTATCAAAGATGACAGTCTAGCTCTGCAGTCAGTGACTCTAACCTTGAGCAAAATGGGTTTCCATGAAGGTGAGTGGCTTTTTTGGGTGAAGGCGCACCATAGGAGTTATTTTTAAATGTCCCACTTACAAGCTCTCTACCAGACTATAACAGAGAGTTGTGTCAATGCTCAAAGGCCTGCTTTCAAAGAACCTCTTTTTTATTCTGTAGAGGATCGATTGTCTGGTAAACGGAAGCCCACCGGTAGAAGCTGGTAAACTATTTGTATTTACTTGAAATCTTAAATTCTTTATGTTCGTTCTTAAAGATACAAAGATTTGTGTCTTGCTAAGTCTTAGTGGTCATGAGGAAGGATTAAAGTCGCAGGAAGTTTGCAGCATGTTCCTTCACTGACTCATTAAACACGCAGAAGAGGAAGTGGCGCTGACAGAGCTGACTTCCTGTCCACCCAGTGTTGTTCACGGCACCGATATCTGCCAACCAAAGCCTTTTAGGGGCAAAATGGCCATGTCTGAACAGGGTGTCCAGACAGTGTATTGTTTTCTCGCCTGATACATTGCAAGCTACAGCCTTATCAGTCACTTATGTAACTCTCGGAGTGCAGAGCCTGTGATAAATGTGTTGAACTTGCCACTTGGGTATGATCTGTCTGGTTTCAGTCCGCTGTTTGTCACTATAGGATGGTGAATGGCTTTAAAGAGACTCTTAGGTCTGTGAATGTGTATCTGCTGTGTGTCACTTTAGGACCTCGATGTTGTATGCTCCCATACTTATCCCCAATTACAGTGAAAGCATAAACTCATTAAAATTGCATAGCAGCAGACGGACGTGCTGGTGATTCTTTGAGCTCGCTAAGGGAAGTGCACATGGTTGAGCGGTATTGTTATTCAGCCCGTGGCTACAGATCATTAAGCTAACCTGTGTTTGATGCCTATGCCAGCTGGCTGTAGGCTTTGCTCTTCTCTAACCCCTGGCTAAAACTAAAGCCTTCTCATTGTCTCAAAGACATAGACCGGCCCATTGTCTGAGTCTCACACAACAGCTGTGTTGTTTTACCTGTCGGCCATTTAAGGGGAAAAGCGAGCACCTTTACTCACTGGAGCACCCGTGTGGAACAACGTTTTGGAAAAATACGTCATAGAAAGTTGAACACAATGAACAAGCACAAATAGAAAGGCTGTCACTGCATTTGTTTCTTTCCAACTTTCTCTTCATTTTAGGTTTATTTATCTGAAAACCTACACTCATCTACACTTTATTTTAGTAAAAAGCTAAGATTTTGGTTATAGACAGACAACTTAAACAAATAGGATCTAGTCTATAATAAACATACTCACTGCTGAAACAGTACAGGCACTTGAAATATGCACGTTAAGATTCTCGCAGTCTGGAATGTTTCCGTATATATTCCATTATCTGATATTGTCATGATGCCTTTCAAAAAATAGAATCCTGAAGTGACCATAACAATTTATTTTCCTGCAAGATTTGTTGTTGTGACTTGTCCTGAATACTCATCATTTTCTTTTTTAAATATGCATTATATCCATTTTCGGTCACACTTTTTTTTTTAATTATGCTAATAAACCAATAACTAAGATTATTAATTCAAACTACTTATTAGCTGCTTATTAATAGTTGGTAAGGTAGTGGATATGATTAGGGATGTAAACCAAAATCATACTTTATAAATACTGTTAAACAGTTAATATATTAATAATAAGCATGTAAAAAGGCAAGTAGTTAGTTGTATGAATTGTTACCTAAACAATACCTTTTTTTACGCATATACTGTGAGATTAGATGTATATGTGTAAGCCCACTGGTCCTACACCACCCAACCCGCTCTGAGCTGGGATCGAACCACATGGGAGTCAGTCGCTCTACCAAGGAGGTTAAAGACCATGGCCTCTAGCGTCTGTAGCTAGAGCACCTGTTAGGTTTCAGAGGATTGAGGGTAACCTGCACAGCACTTTACTAGCTGGCCTCTGTTACACTCACCCCCATAAACCTCACTCCCAATCGGGTCACGGCACCAATGTAACCCCGCTGGTCCTACACCACCCAACCCGCTCTGAGCTGGAATCAAACTAGCGACTTTTCACATGGGAGTCGGTTGCTCTAACAAGAAGGCTAAAGACCATGCAGTCTAGCGTCTGTTGCTAGAGAATCTTTTCGTGTTCACAGGAGTGAGGTTTACCACTTTACTAGCGGGCTTCTGTTACATTCACCCCCATAAACCTCACTCCCATCCAGGTCACGGCACCAATGTAAACCCGCTGGTCCTGTACCACCCGACCTGCCTTGAGCTGGGATCGATCTAGCGACTTTTCACATGGGAGTCGGTTGCTCTACTAAGGAGGTTACCTCTAGTGTCTGTCTCTAGAGCACCTGTTTGGGTTCAGAGGAGTGAGGTTTACCTGCACAGCACTTTACTAGCTGGCCTCTGTTACACTCACCCCCATAAACTTCACTCCCATCCAGGTCACGGCACCAATATAACCCCACTGGTTCTACACCACCCAACAAGCTCTGAGCTGGGATCGAACTGGAGACTTTTCGCATGGGAGTTGGTTGCTCTACCAGGGAGGCTAAAGACCATAGCCTCTAACGTCAGTCACTAGAGCACCTTTTCCGGTTCAGAAGAGGTGAGGTTTACCTGCACAGCACTTTACTTACTGGCCTCCGTTACAAATTCCTGCCTCTTTATTATAAAATTGTATATGAAATCTGTTTGCGTGAGCCGAGACTGTGATTATAAAGAAGCGAAGAGTGGGAATAAATTAATTCACAGTGCAATGTTATGAATACTTCCCTTCACTACTAGCGTGAGTCATGCATTCTTAAGATTCAGCCACTGGTTCATTCTGACAGACTGCGCCTCCAGCTCTGCCGAAAGTGTTTTTGAGTTTGTGTATGCTTCATCATCTACCCCGGTCTATAATGTCTCTTTAAATCCCCGAACACCCATTTAAATGAGAAAGTTCACATTAGCAAACAACAGAATCTCATTCACAGGTCCTCAAAAGTGTTGGAGGCCAAAGCTTTTAAATGCATATACTGCTGGAACATTCTTTTGCTGCTGCCAAAATCATCACCACACAAACACTTAAGTTTATCTGCGCCCTTCAGATTTAGAGTTTGCCATAGGACAATGAAAAAACAACCCGCTGCATTGGTCTCTAAAGAACGCATGTAATGTGTCTGTCTAGTCAAGCGTTGTTAATTCTGCGGAAATACTCATAAGTGGTTCCTTATTAGGTTACCAGGTCCCGGACGTGACTCTGTGCGCATCCTGTGCTCGAGCAGCTGTTGACATCAGGCCACGTTTTGATTTCTCGCCCACAGAACTGACCCACTATAGGTCCATTTCTGTCCCACTCAAGATGCAGATCTGTCTCGGGATTAATGCGCTGACCTAGTTCCAAAGCAGAAGTGGTTTATCCTACTTTTTTCCCCACTTATCTTCCTCTACAGATGTTGTGCATTTCTTAGGGATGTTGGCGAGTTGAGCGTGATCTGTAAAGGAGCTTAGCTTTACATAGGTCTCGTGATTTTGAAACCTCTGACCTGCTCAACTCCTGGATGACCTAATTGAGCTGACCCCTGTTACTGAGGGACGGAAGACAGCACTTGCCTTGTGAAATTGCGCATGTAATGATGGCCATTAACGGCGCATTTGCTTTCACCAACATTTCAAAGGAATGTTTAATCAGGTCAACTGATAAAGAGTGAAACTTATCTAACGAAAGGCAAATCCCTAATTCTCTTTTAAACTTATGTCATTCAATCCCACTCATGCTGTTCTAAACCCATAAGAAGTTTTGGGTGAACTTTCAGTGGAGGAATAAAAATGTTTTGCTCTGAAACTCCTGAAAATGTTCTGAAGATAAACAAATTATCAACCTTGAATGGCATTTAAGTGAGTAAATAATGAAAAAGCTATGGGGTAACCTCTTAAACCCCTTACATCCCATAAATAGGTTCTATTGATGTTAAAAGTCCTTCATGAAATCATTGATAAAGAGATTTTAATTTTAATTGTGGAATCTTCATTTAATTCTATTGTTATATAGTGAAATTTAAATGGAGATCCCATACTTAAAATGAAAGGGTCTCAATGGTTTCTTAAAGAAACTTTAACATCCATGAAAACTATTTATAACTACAAATGTTTCTTTATATGCAGTGAAAATTAAAGGTCATTTAGATTATGTAATTGTTCTTGTTTTGAATAATTTTCACCAAAATGTTTTTAGCAGAGCCAGAAAAGTTGATTTTATGGCTTCACTGTCGAAGTTCCTCCTTTGTTCTTACTGACACCTTTTATATGTATATTAGGAGATAAAATCATTTTCTCACAAACATTTAATTTCAGAAATCACAAGACTTCAAGAAAGATTTCAAGAAAGGCATGGTTTGCATAAACATAAAGCTCCTGATGTAATGTTTATTTATCTTAAATAATGTTAGGGAAAGCATCTGTGACAACATTAATACCAGTTTAATAGTTCTAAGTGGGTTCCTTAACCACAAAACGCAAATTTTAAGTAATGTAAGATGGTCAGCTCACCACTCGTCCAGTGTGCCTCTCTATGGCTTTCTTCACTTTTCCATATGTTCCTCTCCCGAGGGTCTCGAGCAGCTCGTAGCGGTGCTTCAGGTTGTGTTTATGGTGATGTTTCTTGACGCTGGACCCTCTCCGCACACCGAGAGAGGCTGGCATCTCTCCTCCCGGAAAGTCCACCGGTAGAAGATCACTTTCGTTTGCTCCGTTACTCCCCAACTGGGACGATTCAGTCTCCATGGTCTCAGGGATGCTCGGTAAATTTTAAAATCGGCGGTGAGCCGCTAGATAAACTCCCAGATATCCCGAACTGACTGTTCAGTCGTCAATTAAGCTATAGGGATGCGTCTGAAAGGAGAGAGACGCGTCAGTCATTCGCTCTGTGTCAGGATGCGCTCTTCTCGCCTCTGGCAGCTCAAATATGCGCGAGCGACTCCATGCTTCAGCCGTCCATCCCACCGCCGGCGCGTGTCCCTCCTCCCTCCGCTTCCCTTTCTCCAGAGTAAAATCTACAGGAATCAAGAATGCAGCATGCATGAAGCCGGAGGCGGAGTTATAGGTGCAGGTCTCTCACTCTCCTTCTCTCTCTCTCTCTCTGATGGAATAATGGCGTAATGTAGAACATTTAACTGAATTTTTGTCTTTGCTTTTCCTTAATCACTTTCTCTCAACTACTGTACTCTTGAGTTTAATGCGTTTTATTGGCATGACGAGTAGATTAAGTTGACTTTTTTTTTTTTAGGACTAAAGAATTTCCAGTTGCATTAAATGTGCATACCTTATACTGTTGCGTGAATGGCATAGTTATTAATGTATATGAAAATATTAACCATATCACAAAATGTTTTGGTTAGGTACAATAACTTGCAACACAGTAAATAAATAAATAAATAAATAAATAAATAAATAAATAAACAAACAAATAAATAAATAAATAAATAAATAAATGCGTAAATGTGACCTTGAATGAGATAAGATTTTTTTTACCAAAGTGAAATATTATTCACTTAAATAAAAAATTTGTTTGTTTTGAAGAAAAAGTGTTTAAATAAATATAAATTTCCCTAATAGATTTTTTTATTTAACATTTAAACCCATTTATTTATTTTGTTCCTAATTACTTTTTAAATCAATAATTAAATGTTTGTGTATTTGTTTGTTTTATTATTTAACTATTACATTTGTTTTAAAAAAATGCATTAAATCAAATATTTGCTTGGTTGGTTGGTTGGTTGGTTGGTTTGTTTTACTAAAATTTTTAAATACAAAAAGTACATTTTAATAATAACAAAAACAATAATACCAATAGTAATAATAATAACAAGACCCAAAAATGAGTATTCTGTCATCATTTACTCGCATTTTCTTATTAGGGTAAGCTATTCATTTATTGCACTATGGAACATTTCTGCAATATTTCTCTCTGAGTACATCTGTCAAGTGCAGCTCTCTAGGCTGATGTTGAATGGTTTAATGCATTGTGCAGGTGTCTTTTAAAATAAGGAATGAAGCACTGGTTAGCATTTCCTTGAAATCTGCTAGACATAGCATCATTTCCCGAATGCCTTATTGTTGTTCCTCTGTAGTCCGCTGTTTGTTTCTGCTTGTGTTGTGATCCTAAACTTTGGTCATGCTCTCAGAATAGCAAGCAAACATTATGCAGGAGTAATGTATGGCTCAACAGCGCCCTCTAGCAAAAACACAATATGTGCACAATCATCACAACCTAAGACTACTAGGATGTACTGCCATCATTTGGAGGGTTTAAAGTGATACTAAATCAGTATCTATCTATCTATCTATCTATCTATCTATCTATCTATCTATCTATCTATCTATCTATCTATCTATCTATCTATCTATCTATCTATCTATCTATCTATCTATCTATCTATCTATCTATCTAAACAACAAATAAATGTCAATCATGTCGTTACACATATTATTATTATTTTTATTTCCCACCTATAAGCAATAAATTGATGCCATCTACCTGTTTATACATAGATGAAGAGGCGCCCTCTAGTGTACCTAGGGTGAATGGTCTGTGTTCGAACTGGCTAAAATGTGCAATGACGTTAGCCGTTTCAAACATTACAGGGGGCGCTAAACTGCGGTTTTCTCTGATCTATGATGTTTAACAGAGTAAATGAATGTTCACAGTATGTCTGATAATATTTTTTTCTTCTGGATAAAGTCTTATTTGTTTTATTTTGGCAGTAATAAAAGCAGTTTTTAATAAATAATTTTTTTAAAATAAATTTTAAGGTCACTAATTATCTCCTAAGCAATATTTTTTTTTTCAATGGTCTCCAGAACAAACCATCGTCATACAATAACTTGACTAATTACCCTGACCTGCCTAGTTAACCTAATAAACCTGGTGAAGAATTTACATGTCACTTTAAGCTGTATAGAAGTTTCTTGAAGTATATCTATCTATCTATCTATCTATCTATCTATCTATCTATCTATCTATCTATCTATCTATCTATCTATCTGTCTATCTGTCTATCTATCTATCTATCTATCTATCTATCTATCTATCTATCTATCTATCTATCTATCACACACATGACCTTTGACCTATAACCTAAACAACAAATAAATGTCAATCATGTCGTTACACATATTATTAATTTTTTATTTCCCACCTATAAGCAATAAATTGATGCCATCTACCTGTAGATACGTAGATGAAGAGGCGCCCTCTAGTGTACCTAGGGTGAATGGTCTATGTTCGAACTGGCTAAAATGTGCAATGACGTTAGCCGTTTCGAACATTACAGGGGGCGCTAAACTGCGGTTTTCTCTGTGTTATGATCTATGATGTTTAACAGAGTAAATGAATGTTCACAGTATGTCTGATAATATTTTTTTTTCTGGATAAAGTCTTATTTGTTTTTATTTTGGCAGTAATAAAAGCAGTTTTAAATAAATATTTTTTTAAATAAATTTTAAGGTCACTAATTATCCCCTAAGCAATATATTTTTTTCAATGGTCTCCAGAACAAACCATCGTCATACAATAACTTGACTAATTACCCTGACCTGCCTAGTTAACCTAATAAACCTGGTGAAGAATTTACATGTCACTTTAAGCTGTATAGAAGTTTCTTGAAGTATATCTATCTATCTATCTATCTATCTATCTATCTATCTATCTATCTATCTATCTATCTATCTATCTATCTGTCTGTCTGTCTGTCTGTCTGTCTGTCTGTCTGTCTGTCTGTCTGTCTGTCTGTCTGTCTGTCTGTCTGTCTATCTATCTATCTATCTATCTATCACACACATGACCTTTGACCTATAACCTAAACAACAAATAAATGTCAATCATGTCGTTACACATATTATTAATTTTTTTATTTCCCACCTATAAGCAATAAATTGATGCCATCTACCTGTAGATACGTAGATGAAGAGGCGCCCTCTAGTGTACTTAGGGTGAATGGTCTGTGTTCGAACTGGCTAAAATGTGCAATGACGTTAGCCGTTTCAAACATTACAGGGGGCGCTAAACTGCGGTTCTCTCTGTGTTATTATCTATGATGTTTAACAGAGTAAATGAATGTTCACAGTATGTCTGATATTATTTTTTTCTTCTGGATAAAGTCTTATTTGTTTTATTTTGGCAGTAATAAAAGCAGTTTTAAATAAATAATTTTTAAAAAATAAATTTTAAGGTCACTAATTATCTCCTAAGCAATATATTTTTTTCAATGGTCTCCAGAACAAACCATCGTCATACAATAACTTGACTAATTACCCTGACCTGCCTAGTTAACCTAATAAACCTGGTGAAGAATTTACATGTCACTTTAAGCTGTATAGAAGTTTCTTGAAGTATGCCTATATCTATCTATCTATCTATCTATCTATCTATCTATCTATCTATCTATCTATCTATCTATCTGTCTGTCTGTCTGTCTGTCTGTCTGTCTGTCTGTCTGTCTGTCTGTCTGTCTGTCTTTCTGTCTGTCTGTCTTTCTGTCTATCTATCTGTCTGTCTGTCTGTCTGTCTGTCTGTCTGTCTGTCTGTCTGTTGTACCAATTTAATTAAAAAGAAAAGAAAGTTTCGTCATAAGTGTATGCAGTAGTATGCATACTGTATTCTGCATCAGCTCACAGTAGCCACAAGTTTTTGCAGATGTGTCAACATATATTGTCACTAGAGGGGGCTGTAGGGCAATGGAAATTTAAATCCACAGTAGGGATCAAAATTAGAGAGCAACTTATTTTTATACATACCGTTGACTCCTTTTGCTTACAAAAATTATAAACACTTTCCGATTTCTTCCAGTTATTGGTTTGATTTTTAAGAATTTTCATTGATTTTAGCAAGATGGTGAGCCATTTTAAAGTGATTAAAACCATCTGGCAGCAGGTTGTCAAGATGAACACTGTATAAAAATGTAGGGTTCCACACAATTAATTCATGTTGTCCCAACATAAATCAATTATGTTAACACATTTAAGTGGATTAAGCGTGCAGCAGTTATTTGTTAGGGTTTGGTGGTGTTTTTTCCAGTGTTCAGCTTCTTATAAAGCTATATTGAAAAGTTAATGCAAGTGTTTATCTGAACTATACTTTTATCACACCATCAACAAGCAATTCTTGACAACGTCTTAAAACAGATGAAGCAGTCCTTGTTGGAAAAAGTACTGAAATAATCAAATGGAGAGTCCTGATCAAAACCTGACAGAAAATCTCTTGAAAATTCTTAGCAGCATAGTCATGGCTGAGAAACACTAGTCAGTGTACTGTACACTGTAAAAATTATATGATCACTTAGTCCTGGCAGCATATGTTTTTAGGACTTTGTAACCTATTAAACTAAGTTAATCATGTTCTAACTTAATTTTATAAGTTATGTAGGCTGTTTAAGTCAGTTTAACGGTAACACTTCACAATAAGATTCATTAGTTAATGCATTTACTAACATGAACTAATCATGAAAAGCAATTGAACAGCATTTATTAATCATAATTAAACATTTACTAATGCATTATTAACATTCAAGTCCATGATTGTTAACATTAGTTAATGCACCATGAGTTAACATGAACTAACAATGAACAACTGTATTTTCATTAACTAACATTTATTAACATGAAAAAATTCTGTAGTAAATGTATTGTTCATTGTTTGTTCATGTTAGTAAATGCATCACTTAACATTATTTAATGAACCTTATTGTAAATTGTGACCAGTTTAACATACTATAAGTTCAATGGACTCATACGGTTCATTTGATTCAGCTTAAAAATGTAAGGCAACCAGGAATTTTTTTTACAGTGTAGAAGAAATTGAGTGACTATAATGATGTGCAGAGAGAGAGAGAGAGAGAGAGAGAGAGAGAGAGAGAGAGAGAGAGAGAGAGAGAGAGAGAGATGTCCTATAAGAGACTAGAAAAGCCTATTAGACACTAGTCTTTCCTGTGAGAGACTAATTTCCTTTGAATTAAGGATTTGTCTCATGTACTGGGGATACAGTTAAACAACCTGGATATGCA